TAAAACACATCTATGCATGTACTTAGCATTCCATTTAAATAATCGTATAGATAATTCCTCTTATAAAATTACTTTAGCAGCAAGGCATTTGGTCTTAGAATATAATTCTATTTTTCCAAGGAAGGGTTTCTATTTCTACCCAATGGTTATGAATAAAGAAATTAATCAGCCACTTAAAACCCAAAGGACTCAAATGCAATTAGTACTTCGACAATCAACAATAAATTCACGAAATGCAAAACAAAGCACTAACTGCAAATGCAGATTTTATGATGGTCTTCCAAATGTCAATGTCCTGTGCAAATCATTCTTTTAAATGTCTTGCAGGTTGCTGATTACTGCCACAACCTTACCATGATTCAACACTACTTTATTTGTACGAGTCCTTTACAAAAAGAGGACAGACAGGATTATTTATCAGATTGGCATCTTGGCAAGGGATGCTCACCACGTATCCCAAACCTGGTGGTGTGGAGTAACTCCCTTGCCTAAGGGATCACGTGGAACAGCCACAGGGATGACTAAACACTACCTTTAACAATGGTGTTCTAATACACAAATTTGCTCAGGGACCATAAGGGCGTGGTTGTTCCTCTGTTATTCCGTGCGTTGCTCCTGTCGGAGTCCTGAGTTCCACCAGGAATACTGATGGGCCGCAGAACAGCTGGCCTTCCCTTCAGGTGCCTCTGACTTTTCATCACAGGAGTTGTAGGAATGGTAGATCCCCAACACCACAGCAAAAATGACTATTGCAGCCACTACAAGCCACACCACATTCCAGTGTTTGCACAGTTTGGGGTACAGGATATATAAATAATTAATGATGACTTCAAGTCTGCTGTAAAATGAAAAGAAAATTATTATAAATCAATCAAATGCAAATTTATTATCTTAGGCTTTTCAATTTGCTAGGTGTCATAGGTGGTGTCTTTTTTCCCAATACAAACACCTTGTCAAAGAAGAATCAAACTGTAAAGTTCTTTTATGAAGAGCTGTACACTCAGATATTCCAACTTGATATATTCTATATGAGTGAAAATTTGTGAGACAGCTGGAGACTGTAAGCTTGACTCCTATTTCTCCCACCTGTCAGCTGGCAAATCTCAGACCTTGATATCATGCAAAATTCTGCACTGTTCATACCTTGATCAACTAAATAAAACATTGGAATATGTGGTAAACATTTCTTTCCAAGAGTGTCATGACTAATGAGATGGCTGCTCTCTGAAGGTAGTTGAAATCTCAAATCAACAGATGTTTATAGCTATAACAGTTATGGAATGGAAATTAATTCTTCTGGATTAGGTAAGGATCCCAGCCTTACCTGGGATCACACTTGCTTTGGCCAGCATTCAATTCCTCTGTAAGGTACAGATGGATGCAGTGTCACTCTAGTGACAGGAATGGCACTAATTCAGGTTCCTGAATTACAGCCTTTATGAGGCAGTACATATCCATAGAGGGATACATTTTGGCATCTAAGGAACTTTTATGGAGCATTCTTCTATCTCAAATCAGAACCAAAGCCCATCAAGATGAAGCATCCTGTTGTCAACTTTAACCAAAATATCAAAATATTTAACTTTAACCAAAATATCAAAATCAAGAGTTTGCGTTTTGCAATGACACCATCTTGGAATTTTACTTTCTGTGAAAATATTATTATTTCAATATGCTTCCCCAGGAGGAAAACATGCCAAAATGATAGTATAAAACAGTTGCTTGGGTACCACAAGTAGAAAAAAGTGGCCCATCTTTATCAGACAAAACATTTATTTCTTAGTCTAGAATGCTGTATAAGCACGATCTTATTTAATGAAAAATTAGCTTTATGTTTTGTTACATGTAATAAAACATAAGTAGCAGTATTGCAGCACTTGAGCAAGAGTAAAAATTAGCTGAAGGCCACCAATAAGGAACACAGCCACCCTTCCTGAATAGAGGATTATATTAAAGCTGATACCAAATTTATCATTTTAAACAAAAAAAAGAGGTTGTTCTCCACAGAGAACAATTTCTGTCTATTGTAAAGGAGTCAGTAAACATTCTTCTATAACTTTCCATCATTTTGAATATCCTCTGTACACTTCTTTTTGTCCTGGAGAATAAATGCAATTCCATGCTAAAGTCAGATGGCATGCTGGATTCTGCAGGAGAGGATCAAAATTTGTCTCACTCTTCACATAATACAAAATTATTTGCTTGACATTCAGCAACAGATCCCAAAGTTTTTAATTGCTCCAAAACATGCTGTGTAAAGCACTTTGTGACACCAACAACATAACTATTGTATTTAAAAATAAATTTTAAAAACATATGTCCTCATCTGGTAGCACATATTTACAGATTTAGAACACAAAAATTATTCTCACCCCTTATTATAGGCTTCCTCTTCTATCTTGGCTTTAGTTTCAGGACTGATCTCTTCCAACCCACTCTGTGTCAGCACAGAAGTTGAAGTTTCACAGTCAGGCTCTCCACTTGACTTCCCACTGCCAAGACAAAAGAAGCAGACAAATGAAAAATAACATCATAGAAATGTGTTGTATTTGGAGCTGCAATTTTGTGAGTCATGATTTGTCTTTTTTAATGTACATTGGAGAAATGAAATGTCTTACAAAAGAAAAAAAATTGAACACCAAGAAAAATATTAGTTTCAGGGTCCTGTGATTAAAGAACAGTAATTATTATGTTTCTATGGTAAGAAAACTATAATTTTTATTCTTCTATAAAAGAGAAAAAAAAGAGCCTTTGTTTCCTGGTTCATCCATGACATTTATTTTCTATTCATGAAAACATTTCTCTCAACTTTCTAAATATCATCTTAGAAATTGTAACCTGCTACATAAGAGGAACATAACAGAAGTGATGTCAAATACTAATTCAACAAAACATTGTTTTTATTTACCTTTTAAGTGTTCTCCTGTGCTGATTTTATATGCTGAACTGATTCACAGGTTGAAAAAAAATACACATACCTCACTTTTCTCAAGTAAAAGTTTGGAGCATTTAGCCTAAAGATAAGCTGTCTTATATTGCTGTCTTCCTGCAGTGCTCTCCTGGAATTTGTTTTATCAGGGACAGAGAGTTTAAGTGATTGAGACATAGCAGATCTATCAAAGTCAAGGTTTAATAAGCTCAACAATGGATCCCTTTTCAACTTTTGGAATCTCACCCTTTTTGCAGGCCTTATTTTCCTGGCACTGAAATAGTTCAGCCTGATTGACACCATCTGTGGGCAATGGACTTTCTCTCATGTCACATTTACAGTAGACATTATTTTCACTTGGACTTTAAACAAACCATGAATATAAGCCTGAAGTGCTTAAACATACAAAACTGTGCTGGTCTAAGTAATTCTACACTACTAGACCAGCTGGCCCATGCACACACAATTTATGCTCAAACTTGAATTTCAAGTTCTGCCTCTGTTACTCAGTAACACGATTTGTTTTCTTAGGTGTCAAATATTGATAAGGTTTTTTTGGTGGTTGTATTTTCTCACAGAATTTCCAAATATGGTCTAGATCTTGCAGAGTTCTTTTGAATAGTAGCAGCCAGTGCTGTAGTTTCCCATTTTTGTTTTCTCAGTTGTTGCATATTTACATTCTTTTTAAAGAACAAGGTAAAACAAAAATATAAGATAAATTTTGTCCTGCCTCAGCACTAATCTAAAACATTCTGTCATCAATATTCTGTAGTGTACTCACTGAAAGCTTTTAATTTTCATGTTTAAAGCATTCTAACAAGTAGTAGTAATATCACTATTTAGTGATAGTATAGTAGTGTGATATCAGTATTTCAAAATGTGATTCTTTAAATTACCATTTAGAATTAGCATTTAATAGGTACTGAGACAACCTAGACAAAACTCACTTTTCTAGAAGTGCTGGCAGAGCAGGAGTAGATGTTAGGTTGCTCCTTCCATTACTGGGTGATTCAGACTGTAAGTAAAACACAGCAGTAAATGTTTCATTCATTAATTAGTTAACATTCATGATTAAATACCAATTAAAATTCATTAATTAATTTCAAATGAGTGATCAGTATAATGACAAAGGCAGTGTGATGCTTAGGTTTCCTTCCCACACTCACGAGCAAAGTATCTTTAATATGGTGATTCCACCTTGCTCCCATTAACCAGAGTAAACAATGGACTTGCACACTAAGAAGTTTCTCTGACATTTCCTTCTACCCTATTTATTTTTCCCCAGAAAATGTTCTCCTTCATATATTGATCACTGAACAGTAAAATTATTCTATTGTTCCTCTCCTATTATCCTAAAAACATGAATTTATTAGCCAAGTTTTCAATGGGAAATTTTAAACAAAAACAGATTTAGCTTCTCAGTAAAACCCTCATTTAAATAACCCTATATTTTTAACAAAGAACCCCATAACTTTAAGGTTTTGTCCCATCTTAACTCATTTCTGAACAGTGAGTATGTCTTGGAGTTTTTCTCCAAAGCATTTGTGTAGATTTATTATGTTCAAATTAGAGTTTTATTTATTTATTTAAGTTTTACAAGCAAAAATTCAATATAGAGGCTGATGGCTCTACTGATCCCAGATAATCACAGAACCTCTAAATTGCTACCATGTACATTTCTGTACATTAATTACATTTATTTCTGTTCAATGGACTTTTGGAAATGAAGAACAGCAGTCCAGTAGTGTTCTATGGTTTCTGGTTAAAATTTCTCTCCTACAACGGACAACAATTTCCACTATTTCCTTCCTGAATGTTACTTCAGATTAAAATTGCCTCACTAATGTCCAATACCCATGAACCAGCAGGCTGCCCTATTCAGCTGCTCCCAAAGGGATCATTCATGGAGGTAGATTGTGATATCCCCTTACACAACAGGAATTACCTCTGTCCATCCCCTTCACTAGCATGGAGTCAAAACAAGTTAAACCAATGAAAAAGCTTCCATTTTACATAAATGTGGCTTCCCCCTGGGCAAAAGTAGCTTAGACAAAAACTGCTAAATTTAAAATGTGGGTTTCACTTACCAGGGATGGCATTGAAGGTATAGGTGAAGCTGTGGGTGACTGACCAGGAATGTTCAAGGAGTTAAATTTAGGAACAACCGCAACACTGACTCTCCTCCGAGGCATATTCTGGCAGAAACAACAATTATTTTTTCTACCATACAAGACAGAATGAAGAACAGTTCTGTGGGTTAATTTGTGTGGCAAAGATGTAGGTCAGTGTCCCCTTTGGGAAAAGGAGAGTTGGGAGCAAAACTAAAATAAAAGGTCATGGTTTTCCCCAGAAATTCATGTTGTACTGCCTGTTATGGTAAGTGCTAAATGTAAAATGAGGTGTGGGACAGAGATGCTGCTCTTTTCCCTCCATACTGAAAGCCCAGCAGGGTAAATCACACAACAGAAATGTTCTGAGTTTTTACTGTCCACTCTTATCATAGGCCTTTATCTTTGATTAAAGCAGATGCATAATGATACTGGGGAAAGTGCCAGTGTCACAAGGGCTGGAAATAATGAAGTCACACAGCCCTGAATTGTTAGATAGCATCATGCAACACTGCTTATATTTCCCAAAGATCATAAAAATTCTTTCTTATGACAAACACATGCTAACTGTAACAATATATTCTAGCTCAAGTACAGATTATGTAAATTTTTTCTGACATTTGGTAAGTAGCCAAATGCTTCATCCTATAAAATCTATGTAAAATCTATGCTTCCAACTGAGTAAAAACATCAAAACACTTATAGCATTCAACAGCTTTGTTTTAGTGCATATTCAAACACTTTCAAGATTCTGCCCTACACAACTTTACAGGAAAGGAGTTAAACACAGGCTTATTGAATACTTAGGAGTCACTCCATGATTCTGGTTCTAGACAAAACCAACCATATCTGTTCAGTAATGACAGTTTTATTTAATGTGCTCCTGGAAAGACTGGGAAGTCTACAGCATTGGTAGGCATGCCATTCTAGTGTTTGGGTTCTCTTTCTCCTCCTCTTTATCGTTTGGACTTGTCCTTGTTAAATTTAGTCTTTTTTTGAGACTTCTGCTTCAACCTATGGGGCTCTCATTCTGAAATGCCATCTTGCCCTCAGTATGCTCTGTGATGTAATTCTTTATATCCAGCACTCAGTAGTGGCAGGAATAAACTAAACCTAAAAAACTACAGCCCAATCAAATAACAGTATGAAAATAAACAGCAGACTGAGTATAATGCACCTGATCACCAAAATTCATCATGGTCATACTGGGACTCATGCCTCCCAAATCACTGGTTGTTCTAGCAAGTTTTGTGATAGACTTCATCTGCAACACTTGGAAGTTTTGTAGAAATAAAAGACTGGAATTTCACATCAGGCACAACCATTATTGCACAAAGTCATACTAAATTATGTATCCAAAATTGCAAAGCCCATGCACTGAATTGCATGAATGATATTGAGAGGTTACCAGCACTTTTCTGAGCACAGCCTAAAGAGCTGAGTGTATGTAGACAAAGAAATTTCACAAACAAAAAATGTTTGTTTACTTTATATTGTAGAAATACCTTTCCAACAGTGAGAGACATGGATCTAGATGAACGAGGAACCCCATCTTCTGCACAGAAACAAAGACAAAGAACAGTCTTAGGCTATGTGAGAATCTCTAAGTAATATTAATAGAGCTCTTGCTTATATTTCAAACTCAGATACAGTATATTTACACAGGGTCTGTAAGTGACCATGTATTTATTGTCATATAGTATTGTCATACATGAAATACTACATTTCTTCTCAATTACACCTGCACAAGAAATTTGAAATAATTGCAAATAATCAAATCATTACTATTTTCACTGAATCAGGCAAAAAGCCCACTATTGGCCTCCATACACAAGTTCTTGCAAAGGAAAATTCTCATATTTCAGTTTTCGGCAAAAGAAAGGAAAGAAAATGTTGCAAAAAGAAAAGTGTTTTTAATAATGAAATTTTGCCATCATCTGGACTTAAAAGGTAGTTGCATTAAAATTGTGCAGGGTACATGGATTTGCAAGAGGCCACGAGAAAATGTGATTGGACCTCATTAGAATTTGATAAGTGATAGTGATTTCAAATTACTGTACTATAGCATTAATTATGGTTCATATAAAACATTTTAACTTATTACTGTAACTTTTAAAAATCTACTCCTGTAGATCAGAACTTCATGAACAGATTTCACAATAATTTACTTTAAATTGTTAATAGCCCAAACATCTCTCTGAATTAGAGGCAAGATAAACCCTTAAATTTTTATTTTTCTTTACCAGATGCACCATAGCTTCTGCTAGAATTCTGATTGGCAAGTTTCTTGAACTCCATCAGTTCAGCATGATCCTTTTCATATGTCCTTTTCAGATTTTCCACATACTGCATCATTACTTCTGTTGCCTTTGACATACGCTTTTCCTAAGGAAGAAAAGAAGGAAATACCCAGGTAACCTCTACACATCTCCAACAAATATTTTGCCTCTATATGTATGCTCCATGTCAGGGCTAAATCTGGAGTTGCTGCTCTTGAGGAAGTATTGGTGCCTCCATGACTGAAAATTCCTAAGATAGAATAAAATGCCAATTCATATGCATTTCACAGAATATAATAATTTATTTTGTCATATATTCATACACCGTGACTGTGTGCCTATCTGATTGCTTATGTGGTATACCACATTTGTTTTCAAACCCTCAAAGGTCTTAGTCCTTGGCATCAACCTGGTTACTTTAGAAAGCAGAGGGAACATTCTTGAATCTGGGAGGATGTTGATGTGTTCTTATTTATACTCTCTCTGTTCTCATACTCTGTAATTGACTAAGCTATTGCCAAAGGCAGGTGACTGAATTAGTTTTTTGACCCAGAAAAGTTTTCTTATTTGTGTTGCACTAATTTGAAATTAGTTTCTTGTGATACAGCTGTAGTTCTGAATAAAATATATGCTCATGTTGTACAGATGTTAAATAGCTTAAAGGGAAACCTTCTGTTGGAATGGCATTTCCTTGGCTGCCGTGCTGAGTTTGTTACCTGGCACTACAACAGACGTCTTTAGTCTGTCAAAATGGCAAATAAAACACAGAAGGTGAATATAACCTCTGTCCCAGGCTGGAAAAGAGTGAACCTGTGGATCCAGGATAGAGTTAAACACCAGGATGCTCTCACCTGGCGAACGGCTCCGACCATCTCTGCGCGGCTGGAGAGCCTGGCAGCCAAACGCCGCAGCACCGCAATGTCCTCCAGGAGCTTCTGGTAGGCTTCCCTGTGCTCATAGTGGTGCCACAGGTGAGCTGAGGACTGAAGCAAAAACAGAGCAGCTTTATCAGTATGTTTTTAGTTCAAATGGAGTGGCCAGAGCCTCAAAATGGGGTAGAAATATCCAGGGAAAGCTCCACAGGGAGAGATTAGCCGTAGAGGGGTGCCAGCAGTGGCACCACAGCCAGCCCGGAGTGCTGCTGCCCTGTCTGAGCACGATACCTCACTGCAAACTGCAGGAACACAGGCTGAGGAGTTAGAGAGGGCTTAGCATATCTGCAATATTTTCCCTTCTGAAATACAGGTGAAACATGCCCTGCTACTTGTGAATTCTACAAATGATGAGTTAATTTCAACTAGCATTTAAAAATGATCGCTGAGGGACAAAGGACATTTTAGTTTTCTGGGCACAATGTATTAAGAAGGCCAGTGTGTTCTTTCAGTTCCATGATACTTCACTTATTTGGAAAATAAAACATTATAGTCTCAAGAATTGCAATGCTACTTTGATAATAAATTGCAACCAAAATTTGACTGCAAGAACCAAAATGGCATAAGGGAATATGTTTAAGAAAAATCATGTACAGAATTTCAGATTTTCCTTTTCTTCTTGACAACTGTAACTTTATTTTCTCAAAAAAAAAAACCCTGAAATTCATGTAGATCAGCTTTCTCTTGAATTTAGGTTTCTGAATAAGACATAAATTATCACAAGACTGATTAAAAAATCTGAAAGACTGGTAAAACTGTCCCTGAGCCATAAAACACATGCCTGTCTTACAGAAATGTAGATAACCTCTCAATGAGACTGGAACAAGTCTAGGTTTAGTATGATAAGAGATTTTACAGAAGCCATCACTGCTTTTAATTGCTTGTTAGTTTATTCCATTGTCCAGAACAAAAGCTTTCACAGAGAAGACAGTTTCCACTTTGTTATAAATCATGTAAGAAACTTGTAAAAGCCAGACTGTAGCATGTGAACTGTTTAAGGGAAGAAAATTCTAATCACATCTGTCCCGTGCTGGCAACATGAACCTTGGTTCCCCTAATTAGGGATTCTTTACAGAAATATATGGCAAATCTATTTCAGTCTGAAAACCCTGAGATTTAATAGGCTGTTTCTGTTTGCTCTTTACACAGGGAACAGAAGGAAGAGCAGCAAAATATTCTCAACGTTTTTGTTTACCAGAAGCAATTAATTTGAAAATGGAGATTTGGAATTCCAGATGAAAAGATGTGAAGATCACAATCTTTCTTTAATTGTGTGTTTTCTTGCCTGATGGTGTTCTTGATGAAGTAAATGGGAGAATCATATGTTCTCCTGACTGTTCTCATAAGAATGGCAGCACCACCTTGCAATAATGAATGCCAAGTCTAAGGCTATCTCATTTATCAGCCTGGTGTCCAACCCTCCCTCCCTTTATGCACAAAGACATGCACAGCACTTAAGTTGACACATCTTACCTATTTTGACATTCCAGTAGGAAAACCCAGAGAAAGCTGGCAGGAAGGACTCAAATCTACTGCTAAAAAGGAACACCAGGGGCAGCTGGAATGAAAGTGCACTCAGGCCCAAAACCTGATCATCCTGAGATTGTATCTATTCCTTAAGCATTCCTTGCTGTTTCCTTTAACATATCGTGCCTTCTAGTATCTGCAGTTAAGAGGCCTTTCAAGATACAGATCTCAGGATTCTGAGATTTTGGTATCTCTCATATCTGGACACCTCAAATTTACTGCTAAAGAAGATGTCCTGCCAAGGAGAGCATGGATTAGTGCTCAATCTGCAGTTCTGGATGCTCTTAGCTATGTTACAGGAGTATTTCAAGAACTGAACAGCAAATTCCTAGTATTTATTCCTGAAATCTGCTAGACCCAGGGAAGCATCCTCTAGATATTTCCAGCAATGTTGGCCCAGTCTGGCAGAATATGCCCTCTCAGAGTAGTAGGCAGCTCATGGCAAGGAATTTGAGCAGCAGAAAATGAAGTTTTGGGGCTGAATTTATAAAGCAAACACATTTACAATGTATGTGCACTTTCATGTACACTATAGGTCAGGAAAAGAATTCCCACTATTTTCTTACCGTAATGGCTGCTTTAAAGTTTTCCAGTTCCTTCTCAGCATTCTCTTCAGTAAGATTTCTCTCTCTCTCTGCCTGCTGAATTCTAGATTCCAATGTATAACTATCATTTCTAAAGGCCAAGGAAAGTTGTACAAATACATTCTGTTTGGATTAAAAAAGGCATTTTCCAATAAGTCTCACAGTAATATAATTTTCAATAACAACTTACGACTAAGGAATGTGTTTAAAAAACTTTGCTGCTTAAGTAAGTATTGAAACAGAAAATTGAAAGCATTTTTAAATTAGCTTTCTTTGAAAAATCACTTCTATTTACTACCACTGAAATAGGAATAATAAATGCATTACTGCCTCTTTTCCTGGATGTTTTTCTGGGAGCTCTGTAGGGCAGAGACATAATGAAGGAAGCAGCCTACCAGAAGCACCAGAATCACAATGGATCTGTTTTCTAGCTGGACTTCCTCCAAGGGTCCCCAAGGTTTTTAAACAGATAGTCTGTGCAGAGGAAGTCCAGGGATGAGCTCACCATGAGCATTGTTTTACCTAAGGGATAAACACCTACCCCTGAAGCCAGCAAAAGATTAAGTGCTAACATTTTTATTCTCTTGCACCCTGCTTTTAAAGATGGTTTCTTTCTTTACCAGACTCATTATTTCTTAGGATTAATACTTTGCAAAGCACAAGGCTCCAACAGTTCCAGTAGATTGCAGCATTGTAAATAAAGATATTTTTCTGGACTGATATGTGATTAAAATAATATAAGAAACAAAACCTACAAGCTAATGAGTAACCTGCAAACAAAATTATTGTCTTGAACTGAGAAAGTAAAAATCATGTAAACAGCAGGATATTATTAAAAAATGTCCCAAAGCTCATATTGGCTAATAAAAATGCAATTTAAACTGCTTAGTTTCTGGTCTTTTTAAACTAATTTTTTTTTTACTACTTTAGAATATTAAACTTATTTCCAAAGTGAATTCATATTTTATTATGAAAACACAAACAAATGTTTTATTTATTCCTCCTCTGTCATTTTACAATTTCTATTGCTCATATTTCACAAAATTGTTATTTTGATGGAGTCCAATATGGTTTTTTTTTAATGAGAAATAAATTTTGGGGAAAAAAATCATCCCAATTACCTCATTCTAATAACCACCCTTAGACTTAAAGTAACCACTTAGAATTGGAATGCATGTCTAAAATAATAACATACTTACCTCAACTTCTTTTTCAGTGAGTGGTGGGGAGCTAGAAGTAAAAAATTCACATTTTAATGAGTTTTATCTCTAAAAACAAAGATATTCTAATACTTAATTGAAAAGAACAACAAAATGCATGTTTGAATTTCAAGAATTTTCCCCTACTTTTTAGTATTGATTACAATCAAGTGATGGTCTCTCAGAAGTTCTTCACCTCATGCATTCATTTATATAAAATAATGTATATAAAATTTCCTTCACCATAAATGTTAAATATTTTTTTCACCTGCACAGAGAATCTGTATTTACAGTTCCACTAACAGAAGGCTCTGGTGGTTTTAGTACATAACAATGTGGGTGAATGGAGGAATAATTTTTGGCTGAATAAGTTTGGAATTGTTTTAATGTCTTGGAAAGTCCAAATCAGTGAATTCACAAGTGAGTCTTTCAACTATGTTTGCAAAGTAAGCTCCATTTGCCTGAAAATTTGTCACCTGCAGGAAAATCACAGAACTCTTACATGCCCAAATTCTATTATTGGAAAGCATCATCTGGCCTGAATATTTTCATGGGGGTGAGAAATAATACTTTCAAAATGAAAAACTGAAATATCTGCAGCAGCAATCCTGGAAACCAGGAGTGGAAACATCTGTATAAAAATCTACTTGTAGCATGTGATTAAGGTTTAACACTTTTTATGTAGAACTCACAAACTAATTTTAAAAGTTGGCCAGTTACTGGAAGTTGGTGCATTCCCCAAAATTTTTCAGAAAATCTGTGTTGCACATTTTAAGATGCAACAATTTATCTCCCTGTGAATGTAACTCTGTAAGGGAAGTTGAATTCAGACCATTAGTGTGCTCTCTCCTGGATGATGTGCTTCCACTTCTAACGAGCTTTTACCTTCCTGGAAGTGATCTGTGCACTCGCAGTTTTCTCAGCAATACATCAGGAATGCTGGGCATGACATCAGAGCTGTTCTTTGTCTCTTCCTCTTCAGTAGGGGAAGGGAGAGGTGAAGGGCCTGAAGACATTTTCAGATTAAAAAAAGTAATGTTAATTGAAAAGGCATGCATTATTTTCTGGAATATTTTAGCTGAGATTTTTGTAATAGAATACTGTCATTTTCTAAGGTTTTAAATGCCACCTGCTAAGATGAAGTGTACTATACTATACTATACTATACATGTTATAAATTACATCATGTACCTGTTTTCACTGTATGTTCATTGAAACAGGACATAAAGGTTATACTTACATTCTCTGATTCTGTCACTTTCATAAGAACCAAGACATGGCTTACACTTTTTCAAAATTCATGTTACTTAGCTTCTGTTTTTTCACTTTATTTAATTTCACTTATTTCCCTTATCTCCATCTGTCTTACCAGAATTTCATGGAAGACTCTCCTGTTGGAAAGATAGATTCCCCAGTCTACATTTCAGACTTGGGAAGGAGTCTTTGAACAGTTCTGCTGTTCATAAATTTAAGAGAAGGATTCTTAAACTTGCCATGCAATTAGTGTGTAGATCTGGAGAGCATTAACATGAAAGAACAGAATGGGAAATTCTTTCCATGCTACATTTTAATTCTGTGCATTTGCTTTATATTAAAAAATTCCAGTGTTTACTTAAGAATAGTCACATGTGTCCCCATAAAATCCAGCCTGACACCACACTGTCTCCAGATTTAATGCATTCCACTTATCTAAACTTGTGTAGATGCAGAGCTGTGTTTACTCAGACGGTGACAGTAACTTGTCATTGATAAAAACCATGATGGAGACAATACAATGGACTCATAACAGTAATAATGAAGTATCTGGCTATTTCCTATTGTTTAAGCAAAATTACCACTCCAGTTGAAAAGGTGGCTTCTATGACAATGTAAGGAAGTAGGTCTCCCTGACAAATTAACTAAGCATTTGACCCTTTGCTTGTTTTCCCCAATGAGGACAAAGAGTTGACCCTTAATGTTCTGGCTATCATATAGATAACTTACTGGAATATAAAAAACCCATGCTACTCATGAGATCCATGTTGAGAAGCTGGATAAAATAATGCTTATCTTTTCATAATGTTTTCCTCAAGACTTCCAAACCTGCCAAAATTACGTAGCGGGCTGGTAAAATCAACTATTTTATATTTTCAAACAGATTCTGCTAAAAATTTTCTGGGAAATTATACATTAACAGAGTGACAGGAATAATATTATCATGTCTAACAATCTAAAGATACAATCACTAAATATAGAGGACAAGAACTCTCTTTTAATCTTGATTCATTCAACTGAAGATGAGTCCATTTCCAGACAACATGAAATGTAGTATCTCAAGGATCTCTCACTGTAACAGGAACTTTAAGGCCTGATGAGCTAGTCCCAGTGCAAATGTAGGAATCATCAAAATGAACAGTATTAAAAAAATTGAAATTGTCTTTGGATTGAATCTTGGACAATCAGCTTCAGCTCCTTCCATAGTAACCATCTCCATTTCAATTAATGTCACACTGATAAAGTTCTGAATTAACTGCTTCCAAACAAATATATAGTTTTGGTTAAAATATTTTAGATTGATATATTTGGTTTAAGTATTTTAGCTAAGCACTACTGCTGTTTAATTCTTCCACATGTTGAATTATCCTCAGGTTTATATACTTGCTCTTTATTCTAAACCTTTTTTAGATGCAGCTACAGGCATCAAATCTTTTTTGCTTATGCTAGATTTCTTTTTCCTCATTTATGTAGGGTTTTGAGCCTTTTCCTTAAAGAAGTCTTGTCCTTTATTTTTCATTAAAAATCACAGAAATTGAGGTTAAAAAATCCCACTTATTGTGAGGCATATTTTTCCAATCCTTCAAACACATTTATGACTCTTCTCTGGCCTTACTTTTTCTCATTCACATTGACATGGAAATGTGGACCAGAAGTGAAAATGCCATTTTAATACTTGCCACACATATACTAAAATAAAAAAAGCAGGACTGAAGCATCCCATCTCTTATTTATATTGTCAGGGATCAAATTCACCCTTATGACCACAATATCTTGCAGAAGTTACATCCATTTAATCCATCACTGCTGAAATGTTTTTACAGAAAGTTACTGAAACTTCAGTCCAAAACTATTAGGTACAAGCCAGACTCTGTACCACTTGTACATCTTTTCCCTTGGTTATAATATCTACAGTATTTTCTTGGTTTAAATCAACAAGAAATCGAGGTACTTTCCATTATTGGTCTCTCTTGCTCATTATTTATTACAGCTCTCCATGACTGCTTCATTATTATTGTGCTTGAAGTTAAAGACTTTTTCACTTTTTCTTCTCATCCCCACATAATAGTCAGTTATAAAAATTAGTGTATAAGAAACATTCCTTCCCGTTTTTATGATACTGCACCTTTTTCCTGTTCCGCTGCTTCACTAAGTTCAGGAAGTTTAAGTCCAACTAAATTTTGATTTCTCATCAAAATATGTTCCTGTGAAGAGAAACAATAATATTTCTAAGTATCTGAACTAAAAATCTCAATTTAAGTATCCCTGCCACATTAACACTAAATATAACATTTCCTTTAGTTAATAAATATGATAGAGATATTTGCAGTACATTACAGTCAGATGCAACATAATAGGGATACTCAAACACACACTTCAAAATATTATATATTTCATATTTCATACAGGCATTATTTAGAAAAATTCCTGGTCATGCAAACAAAGATTTGCAAAATGTGTCCCTTATTCAAGTAGTTATATGGAGTTTTAATAAGTAAGAGATTTAGTAATTGACAATGAAAAAAAGCAGTTTTGGATACAGCCACTGTAATAACCAAGAATCCCAGATAACAGAAGAAATGCAGAAAATCCTATATATGAGACTTCATAACTTTATTAAGACCAGAACTTGGGATGCTTCACTGTTACTGTGTTCTACCTCTATTCCTTACAGGTAGGAAAAAATGCACTCTCAAGGATTAAACCTTGTATTATTTCTCCTTTTATCATCTCCTCATTTTCTTTCATATTCTCACATATGTTTAAATTCACAAACACCTGCTTTTGTTTATGAGTGGACAATTCCTACTGGAGACAAAATTCAGTAGGAATGCTCAAATCTTGCCTAACTGGAATTACAGATCATGTTGCAATCATTTTTTGATTCTCTTATTTGTGCTTAACAGCTTCTAGGTCATTCAAAATGATAGAATTAAAGAATTATAGAATGGCTTGGGTTGAAAGGGACCATAAAGATCCTCTGGTTACAAACCCCCTGCCATGGGCAGAGACACCTTTCACTATCTCAGATTGCTCCAAGAAACATCCAGCCTGGCCTTGGACACAGCCAGGGATGGAGCATCCACAACTTCTCTGGGCAACCTGTTCCAGTGCCCCACCACCCTCACAGGAAGAATTTCTCCTGTAATTGTGTGGCTCAAGAGTCCCAAAACTTCCAGTACACACACATATTAGGAATATGTGTGTTATAGCAACAGGAAAAGATGAATAATGAAGCTGCCATTCCCAAGCAATACAATGGGAATGAATTAACCAAAGTGCAGAATTTCAGGTCTTTGCCTGTCAGCCTTGTATTCATCTTAAAATAATAACTACTGGAGGTCAAGGGAAATATCCTTATTAGGCTGTTCAGGAAAGTACCTGCTACTTATTTTTTTTGCCTTTCAAAAGCTATTATTAATAATAGAGACATGTTCATTGCCTTCTTTTGGTGGTTTATCATTTCATGGAATTTCTGCTTTTTTCCTTAGGGTTTAATTCTTAACTTTTATTAATAATTTAGAAAATTATTTAACAATAGATTGATTATATTGCAGCCCAAGTCTATTCATTCAGAACCTGACAAATTTGCAGTACGTTATAATTAGGAACTGGAAGTCTGGGCATGCTCTACCTCCCCTTGCTGTCAGAGATGCCCAGTTTTACAGCTTTGAACACTTTGAGACATTTTCTGAGAAGGTTCAATAATTAATTAATCATTAAAAACCCATTTCCTGTCCTCTGAGATCTTGCAAATGTAAACATGCAAGAGGACATGCACATGCATGTGTACACATTGAAGTACCAGAGTGCATTTGATGCATATTTGAAGAGAACTAAGAAATAGAGAAATTCCATGGAGTTTACTTACAGGTTACAGTTTAGTAAAGTTGAAAGGAAAAACATAATACAACTGTGTATTGATTATGCTGAAATTGTTTCCCATTTTATCACTGTATGTTTCTTGCAGTGATAAAAATAATGCTAAACATGTTGTAAGTTTAGTAAGGTATGAAAATGACTTTTTAAAACAGGATACAGCTGATGACAGGACTTACCTCTCTGAGCTTTGTCAGCTTCTGCATTCGAACTGGCTGAACTTGGATTTGAAGGTCTTTGAATGCTTTTAACTGATTGCTGGATTTATTACCAACAAAGCTTTTATCTTCCTCAGATGGTAATTTTAAAGGGGTTTTCTCTTTCTGTCCAGGCTCCAAGCTATCCCAGGACACAGCTCGTAATAGAGGAGGACGCAGTCCACACAGTTTAAATTCTGGTTTACATGGAACTTTATGGTCCCTCATTTCTGGAACAGGAATTTTTAGCTTTGAGTCCATATTTCCTATTCCTGATCCTGGGAGATGGGTTCTTAAAGGAGCATCATTTTCTTTCCCTTTCTGGAGAAATGATTTTCCAAGTTCATTTTCACAAACATTCATGCAAGTATTAAGAGACATTCTGCCACCATCACCAGCTGAAGGGGAGAATTTAGGTGAAGTATCCATATGTTTACGTGGATCAAAGTTTTCCTTTTGGTCTGAGAGCTTGTCTTTGGAGTTTTCAAAACCAGCAGAACGAGGAACCAACCTTCCCTGAGAAATCTTTCTTTGATCATTCTGCTTTCGATCAATTAATCCTTTTGCAGCATTCTGAAAGTACAGGGACACACATGAAACAGAGAAACAAGTCCAGATTCCTCTTTTCCCCTGCCCAAGGACAGACTTTCACTGTAAAAAGCCATTTCCTTTTCAGTGACACTTGCTTTTGAATATGTGCTGCTGACAAAAGAAATAATTTTTTACAGGCACTTAAAGAATACTGAATTGGGAATCTCCTCTGAACTTGTGAGTTAACCTCTCCCATTCCATTGCCCATTATAGCAATCCTCCTAAAGCCAAGCTCCTCATCATTTCAGTGTCATGGAAAGTCTAAACCACTAACATACACCAAAATGGCTATAGTAGGTATTTTTATTTTACTTATCAAGTTATTTAGTATATTGATTTTAATTGAGCTAGAACAGGGTGCATGATAGGATGAAAGATCAAGTGGTAAGCCTACTGTCCTCTACTTCTTCTGCAGGTGCTTCATCCTTTCTTAGAGCAGTGTCATTTTCTTTTCACTCAGTGAACAATCTTTCAGCATTTTTAGTCCCATCAATAAGTCATATGTGTGCTAAGACAAACCAGCAGACTTTGTTCAGCTCTTAATGTGAAACACTTACCTCTGTAGCTTGCCTGTCATCCTCTTTCACAAATCTGTTATTCTAGCAAAAAAAGGACAAAAAATCTGCCTTACAAACTTATTTTTCACATCTATGCTACAAACATTAAATATAGATATTAATGGCTGAACTTTGAATTTCTTAATTTTTACATTGCTTGTTGTATTTATATATGAAATAACTATAGGGATTCATTTTTTCCTAGATTAGGGTTATATTGGATCTTTTTCTATTTTCTGCACTCAACAGATCTTTATGATCTTTCAGTTCTTGTTACTTCATGGATTTCTGTCTCCAGAGTAAATATTTACTCATTCCTTGCTGTACAGAGAAAATACCAGTAATCCAATTTTAGTGTATAAAATGGTATTCCAAACATACAATTTTTATCAGGGACTAAAAGGGCAGCATATTATAATATAGTATATATAATATAGCACTATAATAACCAGGTTATTGCACAGACTATTCAGCTCTTACCTGCCCTGGAGACACTGAATCAATACTAGTGGTTGTGCATGCATCAGACCCTGAAAGATACACACATAATTAGGGCATGTCCTGATATTTTGCTCAAAATTTTTATTACTAAAGCATTAACATACACATATGTGCACAGTTTCCCATAATAAATGAAGGACAAAAATTCAAATGTCAAAAATAGTATTAAAAAGGAAAAAAAAAATCAAACACATAGCAAGTGAAAGACCATTTAGGCTTCTCAAAACTCTGTTATTGATAAAGTTTTAAAAATAGAGCATGTGGATTTGCAACACCACAGGAATAAAAAAATATAATAAAAATATCTATATGCAAAAATGCATTCCAGATGTATTTAAGAGCCTTATCAAATTCCAGACTAGATGTTTAAATTTACTCTTCTCAAGAAATACTAAATGAATTTATTTTTTGTGAGCTTTTATAAGTTAAATTTTGAGCCTGCAAATGGTTGGATTTGATGATCTTAGAGGTCTTTTCCTCCCTTAATGATTCACGATCATTTTACCTGATGGAAGTGGAAGAATGAGAGAGTTGCTCTCAGATGCTATGGGTGAAATTTTAGGACTAAGAGCAGGGGAAAGTGCTTCATTAGAACAAAGATAAAAACAAAACAAAAAGATGATTTTACTTTCTAGGCTTGTACCGTCTGTATTTCTAGAATTCAGATGAGATTAAAACATCAATATCATCATCATCAGTTATGTGTTTGTCCAGAACCTGACAAGTCATTTTAATTGTCAGGTTATACTTGACAATTAGGAGTTTAGACTATGTTTCATGTCTTATAATGGTCAAAAATTGATGAATTTCTATTGATACAGGGAATTCTTGTTCTCCTCAGTTTTCTGATACAGTAAGCACTGAGGAGACGCATCACAAGAGAAGATTTGAGAGGAATTTAGGACAAAAAAGAGGTGATGTATAGTTTTGAGAATTTTTTCCCCTCCAGAGAGTGTCAGGCCAATTGTAAGAACTTTGTTTGAACTGGCATTTCAAAGCAAAATGAAAGTCCCATTTCATGGTAAAAAGGCATTTGTTCCAGTTTTCAAACACTTCATATAAAAGGAAAAATAACTTCAATTGACATTCTAGAACAAAACATTTTATTCTGCTGTTTATAAAGGAGGATCTGGTCCATTTAGCTTAGTTTATGGCCATGTTCAGAATAAGAGGCAATGTGATGGTGTCTGGAGAGAATGTTTTTTCAGCAGGATGAATCTAGCCACTAAAATTTCATTTAAACAACAATTTGTGAGCATTTTTCACTTTTCAATAGAAATACTTCATGCCTTCATGTCACACTGTTTGCAGTGTAACCTTACACCATTTTACCCTGACACATCTGAGTACATGGATGGGTTGTTTCTGTTTCATTTGGAGCCTTGTGGAGGACAAGAGGGATCCTGACCTTTAAATTACCCAAGTGCATGTAAACAGCAGCAATGTATAGACTACAGCAGATGTTTGCCTTTACAGATGTTTGAAGGAGAATACAAAATCTGGTTTTCAGGATCTGTCCCTACCTGTGGGTGATTCTGGGAGGCTGCTTCTTGACTTTCTGCCTCGGCGTGCTAAGAACCTCTCACTCACTTTCTTTGCTTCTTCTAACAATTCAAGGTTCTTCTTTTTGTCTTCCTCTGATATTTTAACATCTGGTAGTGGATCATTCACCAGATCAATCACATGACCGCTATTGTCTGTGTAGGAAATATCAGAATTAGAGCTGGACTTTCCATTCCCAGGTATATTGTGCCTTGTGAGAGTAACAAGTTCAAAATAAACTTGTAAATTTATTTAAATTAATGTCTGCTCATTTCTAATGTTGTTACAATTTCAAGTTTAGAGCAAGTCCTCAAAACCACAGGTAACCCACTAAGATTAATTTGCTGTCACCTAAAATTCTCTGAATATGTTAAACTGGCTTTTCCAGCTGTGTGTCCAGCAGAGTTTTTCTCATTTCTAAATAAAAGTGCCATTAGATCCATCACAACTAACAGTAATGGCATTTCTGTTGTAGACTGAGGTTTTCCTGGAATTTTCATGTTCAGTTTTTCAAGGCTTAGAATCCACAAACTCACCCAGCAAAGATTTATGCACAACAGTTTTAGCAATTAATTCAACACTTCACGAATCTGTGGCATTCAAATTGATTGAAAACACTAAACTTTGAGCATCAATTTTTACAATTTTCCAGCCTATGATGAAGCAAAGAAAGCAGGCAGTTGTCAGAAAGGCCCTTTCTGTGTGAGTCAGTATAAATGACTTCTTTGAGCATCTAAAGAACAGCTTGAATGAGGGGGAGGGAAGTCATCAGGTAGTATAAGAAAAATACTTTAAAATTTGACAAGAGCCATTACAGAACCATCAGTTTTCAGAAAAGCTAAGGATGTAAGCAAGCAGCAGAAACTCGAGGGTTTTTGGTTTGTGGGCATGGAGTTATTTCACTATTGGTTTTTGATTGATTCTTTTGGGGGGGAGGGAGAAGTCCTTTGGCTTTAATTTCCTTAAATTCAGTTCAGTTTCAAGGATGTCAAAAACCATACCTACAGATCGAATATTCTAAAGCAATCTGTTTTCAGTGAAATATCTGTTTTGGTTTAAATTCAGATTTGTGTGTTGGAAGTTTGAGAGACAGACCTCCCATGACACTTTCCCTGTGCCAGCAAAAGAGAAGCTCAAGTGTAGCAAAACCAGTATTTCATATTCTACAAGAAATAAAGCATGTATATGTTGAGCCAATGCATCAATTAACAGTGTTTTGAAGTTGTGTGTATTTCCCTGAACTGGTTTGCATGCAGTCCACTTACAAACTCATGATGACAATTCAACATTTCATCAGTATTCCCTGTGCATGCATTACACATCAAGGCACAGAGAAAAAAAACCTGTGGTCAATACAGTCCCTATATAGATTCTCTACACAGGGTTTTTATTGCATGTCACATTTTCTGAGAATACATCCTAATTGAAATGAATAATCACTTCTTACCAACAGAAGTCAGTGAACTTGTTGAATTTCTGGTGGCACGGTTAGAATGTCTCCTATGAGGACTCCGAGGCCTAGAGAGAAAAATGAACAAACAAAAATTATGGATTATGGCACCAAAAAAAGGTCCTAATTGCCTATTAAAAATTAATATTAAAAAGAAATCCCTTTGATTAAAAAATAAAGACGAAAAAGCATTTATTGCAGTTCCTCTCATCTTCAAACAACTGGAAAATAGAGGAGATTGCAGAAAGAAGGAAAATTGCAGAAACTGATCTGACAAAAGAGTTCTAAAATTTGCTATTAATTTCATCCTCTGTGAACCTGATTTCTCAGAAAAAAACTTACATTTCTTTAGATTATTACCATGACTTAAAAATCATGTTAAATAGCAAAAGAAACAAAACAAAAACAAACTAACAAAAAACCCCACCACCACCAAACCAAAAAGACCTTAGTCTTTCTGAATTGTTACTGTTTCTTAAACTAAATTTTATGGCTAAAATAATTCCTTAGGCTCCCACATTGACACTTATATAGGATGTTTCTAAACTGCAAAACAAGTAAAAATCTCAAACAACTGCAGAAATCTAAATGCTGATCCTGCAAATAATTCTGCTTTTGAAGGGCTGCATATAAATTCTGACTCTAAACTAATCTTGAAGTTTGAAGAAGCACACTTTTAAAAATTCAAACAAATTATAGATACATGAAATATATTTTCTGATAAGTTTTTTCCCCGTATTTTAAGTTTAGTGGCAGGTCAATAAAATTAAAAAGCCCAGGTCAGGAAGTATGCTTTATCAGAATAAATATAATAACCTTTATTCAACTCAAAACTGAATTGAAGTTTTCAACTTCTAATGGGATTACTATTTCTACTCAGTGTCTTACTTTCACACATGCTTAACCTCCAGGTGGTATTCTTGTCCCATCTTTGTGAACGGGCCCAAATCTCATTCAAAACCCATTGTTCAAAGTAGATATTTAAGTTGTCCAGCTCAGTGAGTGAGGTTGTCAGGCTCAGTATTCCATGTAACTATTCTTTCAGTCTCAGTTATATTCCTGTTCCTCCACCCCACATCCCAAACACCACCCTCAAAACGCAAAGGCAATATGACCAAGTCACAGAGATACAGCAATAATATTTTCATACAACATACATTTCAGAGCAATGTTTTAGAAACGCAGCCCCTGGAATTTATGGATGGATTGTTAATGTATTACATAGTACCTGTTAACCAGATTTTTATCAGTTTCTACATCTGGCGTAATGGCATTCTCTGGAAGAACAATAGAAGGTGTGCTGCGTGTGGTCCCTTCAACAGTCGTGTCCTGGATGGTGTGGGACAAATATAAAAATGTAGTTAAAGAGAGATGCAAACCACTGAACATTGACTCTCTGTGTGGAAAACAATGTGTGTGTCTCAATTTACTTAAAAGAAAAAGTAACTGAAATAAGAGATAATAGCTGTAATTTGACAAAATAAATGTGAATTAGAGGCCCATACTTAAATCACTCAAAAGAGATGATGGAGACCTGGAATATCTGTTTTCTTTAAAAAGTTTTAATGCATGCAAGCTAAATTCAATAAGCATGGAGCTAAAGAGAAAGCTTTAAAAAGGCAGACAGTCTGTGTTTCTTACACAGCAAACCATTCCTCTAGTGAAGCACATGTCCAAAGGTTCAGTGAATTTACAAGTTGAATGCAAGAGTGAAAAGCAGCTCTGTATAACAGGGCTAAATTAAGTACACAAACCCTCCAAATGATAGTAACGTATAATGAAAGCTTGAATAAACACAGTGCTAAGTGTACACGATACCCAAAACTCCAGAAAATAATTTAAAGTTACCTTGTTAAGAGCTCCACATGGTTTTCCCTCAAATTACTTGGAAACTTATATTTTAAAAATATTATTTCAATATTTAATAAAATATAATTTTTAAGCGCTAAAATAAAGTGGCAAGCTGGTACTGAATATTAATATGTGTTTGCCTGCTTATAAGTATGAGACTTTGCTTCAAGAACTTAATGCCACACCTTCTGCATAATGATACCTCTCAGCTGAAGAAAAGAAATCCATTTCCTCTGAGATATCACAAATGGAGATGCATCAAATTGGCATAAAGTAATGTGGATGTCTCATATGTGTAAGAAAATGATTACTTCTACCCCAAGTACTGTATTCAGATGAAAAACAAAAAAGAGCTGGAGGGAAAGCTTCCCAGCAGTGGCAGTGGACTTTCAAGTGACTTGTAAAATTTAAAGAATGATTTGTAAATTCTCAAATCCTAATTGCTCCTGCTAGGCACTGATATATAAGAGTGTTTTGTTATTTGGAGTCTACAGTTTTCTTGAAACTACATGCTGAAGCTTCACAAGAAATTTGTGAGGCAGGTAAGAGAAAGCTGTTGCAATAGCATTAATTTAGGCATTAATAGAAGGAAGCACGTAATAAGTCACAGTTTAGCAAGTCAGTTTTAGACTCTGGAAGTGTTCAAGGCCAGGTTGAGTGGAGCTCTGAGCAACCTGGTCCAGTGGAAAGTGTCCCTGTCCCTAAAACAGGGCAGTTGGATCTGGATGACCTTTAAGGTCCCTTCCATCCTAAACCATTCTATTCTATTCCATAAGGAAGCTGACTCTTACTCAACTGCTAATGTTTTTCATTTTCCATAGAACTCCTTGAAATATCTCTCCCACTGCTGTACTTTGTTCCTGTTGAAATAACGTATTTTCTGATCAAGTCAAAGGATTCTAGAAGTACTTGGAAAATGGTATAATTTTAAAATACATAGCATAGCCCTTCTGCCTCTCAAAGGCCATGAAATATGCTGAGATTCGGACATCTGATTTAGGATTCTTGATTCTACTGTAAATAGCATATTCTTTTTTTCACTAATATAATTTTTTTTCAAGCAGCTCCACACTCATAATTCTCGTATGAACTTCCTTGGCAAGTTCACTTTGTCAATCACAGGACAGCAGGTGGGGAACATGCCAAGAAAACACTGTGAAAATTTAAATTTAGGAAAAATATCTTTGAAATTTTGAAAACGTTGGAACCCCAAAGCATATGTGTTTCAAATGCACAAGTGACATTTTATGACAATAGCTTGAAAGCAATTTTTAGTAATATTAACATTTCAAAATGTTAAAAAGTAACAATCTTGTCAATGACAAAACTTCAGGTGCTTGTAGGGTAAAGCAGCTGAATACACATGCACAGTGTTTATACTAATCTCATGACTGCCAAAATGCAAAAACTTTTGAATGATGTAACATCAGCCTTGAAGTCACTCAAGCCCATTTTAGGACTCTAAAAACAGCTCATTAAAAAAAAAAAAGAAAAAGAAAAAAAAAGAGACTGCAGCCAAAGCTAGTTCAGGTCAGGCAGAAAACATTAATCCTGGTCAGCAGCTATAGGAGTTCAGCATCTGCACAAGTGAAACCTCATGGCCCTCGTTGTCCAAACCTACATTGTCCAGGAGAGAGGCAGGAACAGCCAGAGCAGGAAGCTCTTTGCAGGGCCAGCTGGCTCCAATCAAAAGGAATTGTTACAGACTGTGCAATGCTCAGGCTGCTCTACACAGGCCTTGGAAGAGAAGCTTTAACAGGAAGCTTAAGCTGCCTCACAGTTGTACAACTGCACAGAAATGAGACAGAAGATTTCCATCATCCTCCCATTTGTGTGCCTTTAACTCTGCTCCCTTGGTAGCTTCCAGATCTGTCTGCTCCTCAGCTATTCCCAACAGTTGCCTCATCTCCTGCTACCAACAGTTCCCTGATACCCAAATCTTTGCTTCCTTTTTGTCCCAAGCCTTCCCTCACTAAAAATGTAGGGTAAAAACTGACTCCACCTCAGTGGCTCAGGTGGGAACTGCTCCACATGGCTGACCAGGAGCTATCCAGTCTTGCAGGGAAGCGTGTGCAGGGCTGAGAGGGTGGCACAGGCAGTTTGGTCCACAACAGAACAGCCAAAAATGAACAGGGATTCACAGGGTGGAGGCAGAACCTCCAGACATTCTGGCTGTTAAGTTTTACCAGGACCTCACTAAGCATACAGAAAATGTGCTTTTGGAATTTTTTATAATCCAGACAAATCCAGATGATTTTTACATTAATGGGATGTTATGGGGAAGAGGAATACAAAGATAGTCTGCTGAAAGACCTACCATGCCAGACAGTCAAAAGACAGACCTTTACTCTGTAACACCTGAATTCTTTAAAGCACCGGGGAAAACAAATTAAACAGGAAAAAGAAAGCCCTCTTCCACCTGGCCATATTCTTCAATATTAATTAGAAGTCTGGACTGAACTTCAGAAGAACAGAGGTTGCTCTAAGAAATACTGAAATTAAAACCCACATTTGTTTTATCAAAATTAATTTGAGATATAGAACCCAGGTCTTCCCATCATGTAAAAACATGATCATATTTGAAGCATGCAGAAAGCTATATGTGATGTAAGGTTAATTTTCTTTTTGTCAGAACTGTTTTGCAATCTGTGTGCATTTGGGCATGCAGGGAAAAGGTGGGGAAGAATCTTCTGAAACAGAACGAGGAAGTTGTTAAGACACCAGAGAGCACTTTAGATGGGATGAAATTCCAGACTTGGAAAAATTTGTTGAATGCTAGAAAACAAATTCAACAGCTTTTAGTTCCTTCTGCTGCCCTCTCCTTTCTTGCAAGTCCTTACCTCACAATAATAAGCTGTTTTACTTAGAGTGACTTACAGTCATGCTGTGGAACTTGACCTGCAGCAGGAGCCAAGAGTGAAAACAGCTACAAATAAGATCAAATTTTCACAACATTGGCTAGGGGCAAACCTTAAGTAGGCTTATGAGCAGTGAGTTGGTTAAAATCCCTCTACCATGAATTTGTGCTTGAAAAAAATAATTTATCTAAAATGAAGCATTTTGCACAGTGAACTGATTCATGAACTATCACATTACCCTAGCTCATTTAAGACCCACATGTAAAAGCCCTGGAAAATGTATTACACATTTAATGCCTGTATATTAGGAGGTTGGAAATTTTCATTTCTCACATTTGACAAGAAAATTCAGGATTAGAATCACTGATGTCTGCTAGATTTTCATGTGTTTCATATTTGGGTATGTTTTATACACCTAGTCTTTTATACTAAAATACTTTCCACATAGGTGAGTTTAAAAACTCCAATAAAATCTTCTTGAGTCAATATATGTTATCAGATGGTAGTCTTGTTGAACTTGTATGCAGCTGGGGTGTTTATTATTAGCAGGAAATTAACACTCAGCACCATGTGCAGTTTAGATGGAAGGCAGGACAAATCAGGGCAGAGCTCACTGCTGACAATATTTTCCTACAAAGTTAAAGTAGCGGATGTTTTCACCTGAAGTCTGGAATGCAGTGTTCTCAAACCCAATGACAGTGTCACATCTTTAACTAAGGATGTGCCAGACTACAAACCCTCTCTTTCTTTATACCAGTTTGCATAAAAATGAATGATTTGGTCAACCTGTGATTTCTTAATCACAGTAAGATTCTTCACTTCAGCTAAGCTAGCAACTAAAAAAAAAAATCCAACCCCAGTTCATTAAAACATGAAGTTACTTTTCCTTTTTTTTTTAATTTTTTATTTGGTATATATTACTGAGAAGGGAGAAGACCCATCTGTTATTGATTTTTTATATTTATCTGTAAAGGAAACATGTAGATGCCACACAAATTTGAACCAAACTAATGAATATGCCTGGGGAGCACCCACCTGCCAGATATATATATATATATATATATATATGTACACACACACATGTATAGCTCCAGAGCATGTTCAGCTACTGCTGTGGCAAATAAAGCACTGAGAAAGACTTCCAACCAAAAAAGCCCATTTCCATCTTTCACACACATGAGTTACATAACATCCTCTATATCTGTAAAAACACCACTAGTTGTTGAAGTGCAAGCCTAAGTTCTGTTCTCAAACTTTCAAGTTTTCTTTTGTAACATCAGAAAGGACAGTTTAGGACAGCTTTGATATATGTCTGTCTGTTCTGAACCATTTGTAATCCTCCAGATCAGAATGATAAACAACTGCTTGAGCAATTTAAGTTCTCATCCCTTAGGCTACAAAATATTTGAGGAACTGTAAGGATTTCAACTGAAGGATCATTCATAGCTTCGTCAATTAGGCAAAGCACCCTAATACAGAGCAACAAATAGATTTGATTTTACGAACCCTAAATACACACAAACAGGTTTCAGCCTCAAGTTTCCAGCAAGTGTCAGAAAACACCTTTGTAAGTAAGAGAGCTTACTTTGGCTGGAGGAGAACTGTTGTGCTGGGCCTCTTTTGCTTGTCCCTTCTCTTCAGGTAAGGTTGGCATGGTGGGCAGTGTGAAGCACGTGGAGCTGCAATGTGGACTAAGAGGACCATGCACTGCTGGCAGTACTTGTTTCAAGTTAGCCTGAAGGCATAAGCGCTGGGAGGCCTCGTGATCTGCAGGCTGGGTTAGATGCCAAAAATACAAATCAAATCCATTTAAAACACTATGCTCAAAAACTGAGATCACTTTGCAATAACAAACAGTATTAAGGTTTAAAATTAAAAATGCTATCTTGTGTTTTATTAACTAAAGCTTTCAAGGTCAAGTATAACTTAGCAAATGCATTCAAAATAGACAACCTTCCCTTCTTGGCGCTATTTCCATCTCTTTCCTCCATTTTACAATTTTCATTTTGTCACTATGATGTGACCAAACTACTTTCTCTAAATATCCTCTAAGAAGTAAACAGCATCCTGGATATCACAGAAAAGCAGAATGGTTCCAGGTTAGAAGGGACCACAGGTGGTCATCTGGTCCAACCTCCCTGCTCAAGCCAAGTCATCCCAGAGCACATGGAACAGAATGGCATCCAGAAAGTTCTTGAGTATCTCTGGTGAGGGAGACTCCACACCCTTCCTGGACAATCTGTTCCAGTGCCCAATCACCTGCACAGCGAAGACATTTCTCCTCATGTTCACATGGAACTTCCTGTGCATCAGTTTCTGCCCTTGCCACTTGTCCTATTGCTCAGCACCACCAGCCAGAGTCTGGATCCATCCTCTGACACCTCCCTTCAGATACTGACAGACATTTCTAGCATCCCTTCTCAGTCATCTCTTCTATAATATGCCTTTTAGTAACTAATAGCCTAAACGCTACAGAGCATGCTCTCAAATCTCAGAGGACCAAAACTGGAACCCTAGAGGGTGGCACTTCTCCTTTGAGCAAGGTGAATTGTGCAAAGACTTGGTGTACCTCTGCCCAAGACAACAAGGTGCAAGATACTTCTGAAGCAAAATAGCAGAAATGCCCGAAGAGTGGAAAAAAAACCCCCACAAGTTATTAGCTGAGAAAATTCTCATTATTAGTATCAAGGGAAGACACTGCATTCACAAGGATAACATCAGTAGAAAGCCTGTACCAAAGTCTGAGGATCAGCAGGGCAAAGCACAAATCAGTTCTTAGAGTGGCAGTGGATGGGTTGCAATACTTACTGTGACACCTGCCCAGGAATCAGGGAGCTGTCTTCATCAATACATCAGTGTGCTCATCAGTAGATCAGAGTCCTCATCAATACATCACTGCACTCCCTGGCGGTGCCTGCAGGTCACACACACAGCTGAGACCCACCCTGGTGTCTCCACTAGGAACTAATGACTGCTGCATTGTAAATTAACCTGCTACAGTCTTCCCTTCCATTTCAGAGATGGGCAAAGAAATGCATTCAGGAACATGCTGGTTTATTGAGGTTGCCAATTGCATTTGTCAAAATACATCTGTTGCTTTAAAATAAAAGCAAAAAGAGACTAAATCATTCACAAGAAACACTGAAGCAGTCTCAGTAGTGACAAGTACCTCACCTCAGCTCTCACAGAAGAAAATCTGTTTTGCAAAATCTACAGAATGTGTGAAAGCTTTGGACTACAGAAGCAGCTAGGATCATGCTTCTATTAGGTTTATTTCACATTATGTTGGAAACTTTATTTTCTCTTTCACTTCAGAAGAGGAATACAAGGCCATCTCACATGAACTTTAATGCAGAACAAATAGATTGTAAAAGTGATCCTACACAAGTATTGTGTTCAGGAAAAAGTAATTATATCATTGCAGTTCCTTGATAATAACTCTGAAAAAGATGCAGCACATGTGACATCATTATGAAGACCAAGATACAGGCTCTTTTGAACAGTGGGCATAAAGATTTTTCACAGCTGTGTATGCTGTAGGGACAGCATGTTTCAAGCTTTTCTAGACATGTTGTTCCTATGTTTGGTACACCATGTTACAGGTGTTTTCCTAACACTACAAAAGTGGTAGTTCATGTTTGTATCATGTATTTAGCCACCTCTAACTTCAAATAAGAGTAGAGGAAACTTTCTATGAATAAAATCTTTAAAAATTGTTATTAAGGCAAAACAATTAAAGTCCCTAATAGGATGGAAAAGACATGTTTATGATTATGTATATTTTAATAGATCCACAGGTTAGACAGATAGTCCTAGCACTGAATATCTGTGTGTTTCAACAATTAAGTTTTTTTGTATCAAACCCAGTTGCCAACTGTTAGCAACACACGAAGCTGAGATGGAAGCAAGATAACTAAATAGAAGTTACCTTTTACCTTTACACATACTTGCTTTTCATCTCTGTAACAAAATCCTGGCATCCTACACAATTTCTGAGTTTGCAAGAACTCAATTTCAAATTTACAAAAAAAAGAAAAGAGAGAGAGAAAATATAAATTTGGCTGTTTATCTAATCCCTCTTAGTGTTTGCCTCATGAATTTATTATGGTTCTGATACATTGAACCCAATGCTGGATCTGAAAAATCAGGAATGTTTCAAGTCATGGCCAAGGCATGTTTGCAGTCCTACATGGAATTGTAGAAGCTATTGCACCAAAGTGGTTTATTCCCAGTCTTAGCTGAGTTCTTAGCACATACTAAACTTAAAAAAGTAATGCAACTTATCTTGAAACAAGAAAGAACTATTAAGCACATCAACTTCCAGTTCATTTTTCAGATTCAAAAAGCAAAAAAAACTTTAAAAGAAAAAGAAATAATTCAGACAGGCTTGTCTAAGAATAGAAAGGGACAAATCCCAAGCTGTGTTGTCCTAGAGATGCAGCACAGAAAGTACAGCCAAGGGAAAAATGGAGGGTAGAAAGATGAATTTATGCCACCTTAACAACCCTCAGATTTGGAGTGGACGGAGTTCAGGCTGTCTCCAACACAATTAGAACCCTACTCTGATTTACTTACACAGCTATCTTGCAAATAGGAATAAGCTTCAAATCTCTGTGCTGATCAGTAGGAAAATTTCTTCTTCTGACTTTCTGTTTTTTCCTAATACCACTCCAGAAAACCCCAGTGCTGAGGACTATATTGGAGCAGTGAAAGATTGCACATAATTATTCATATTCTTAGGCTTCTTAAATCAAACACCATCTCTGCACACCTTGACAGCATTGCTGCAGTCCACTACACTGCCAGAATGAGGGGTACTGCATATTAGTATGTCAGTGTAAGGATGTAGTTCAATTAATAAACTACATGATTTAGAACTCCAAATGTATTAACTTTCAGTCTAAAGGCTTAGTTTTAACCTGTGCAGTGTTCTTAGAGTCAGTAGCCCAGATTTTTTTGAGACTTTATGGTGCTTACCCAGCACAAATATCATATATTGTAAATGCAAATGGATATACCATGCTCTGCGAGGAGTTCTGCCATTTTCTGATCAATTACTGCCTTCTGGTACTGGTAGGAAAGGCAAAGGTTTAGAAATTATGGAAACTTAAATATTAGTGAATAAATGTTCTTCCATCACTGATGAAGTGACCTTATGGCCCTTTAGTTGGGCAATGAAAACAGCCCCAGAAAATGTCACATGGAGTCAAAATGTATAGAAATAGGGGGCTTTGTGAGAACACTATACAAGAATTAGAGCAATTCTCTACAAGAATTAAGATGCTTATCTGCATCTCAAAAATGTAGATTGAAAATAAATAAATATCCTTGGAAAATTCATGTCACTGGAAGGCACATTTTTTGTTTTTCAGCAGAGCACTAGGGCAGACTGCAGTCTTGGAGCTTACAGAAATTCCCACCTCTATTTACAAAACCAGGTGACAGACTTACTGAACCCTGAGCTAGAGTGTGGAGAACGTGACTAGCCTGGTTCTAAGCCTGGCTCACTTGCCAGCTGAACAGCCTTTAGAATCATACTACCAATAGCTTTGCCAGCTTTGTTTCCTTTCCACACATCTCCATCAAAGAAGGAAATGATATGTTAATAATACATGCAATACAGTGAGGTACCAACTGGAACACCTGCATTGGCCCTGAAGACACTGAAAAGGGAGATGAAAAATGCACCTGCACTTTAAAAACAGTCAAGGAGCGTGAGCACATATTAGCAACCAAGGCCCTTGGGATAATTTCAAGATCCTGTTATTTTCTTTTTATTATTTCATTGATCAAGCTCTGTCTGGCTTGTCTCTATCTTATCACAGAATGTCATTATGTTATTATGGTGTTTTATCACAGTAAATTATCATCCCCAAAACTCCATTCTTTCAGAAGTGGTAAGAGCTTCATAATTATATTTTAAAATTAAATATTTGTAAAGATTAACTCACATGTCACAGGCAGAGAGGATGTGGGTGAAGATCTACAATCTCAGTATTGCACGAGCCTTGTGCACCTACAAAATGAGTTAAAAAAACACAAACAAATTACCTATGTAATTCACCAAATTCTGCTCATTCCCACACTAAGAGGAGACATCCTAAAGAAAAAAAAAAAAAAGAAATAAGAGAGGATGGAGTGCTTTTTAACGTTTTGGTCTGTTATTATAAACTTACTGCTTAAAATAGTTAGGAAAAAAAATTATCCCCTGAGCTCAAATTTGTAGTCAGATACAGATCAGTGAATGCAGAGAACTTTCTTTTACCACTGTGTAGGCTTAGAGTACAATCTCCAGGAAATAGAGATCTGGGAGCTCTATTCCATAAAAGGGAAAAGTATTTAGAGGCCCTTGGCTTTCAGTGTGTTCTCTCTGCAACTTATTTTACCATAGTAGAGAAAGTTAAGTATAATCAGTTAACTTCCCTTGGCTGAGTCACGGCTGGGTCCGTGTCAGTGAAGGCCCAGAGAAAGGTCCTTTACTCCATCTCCACTGACAGCTGGGCACCTGACCCCAAATCCTCTGTCATGTCTCAACAAGAGGACATCAAAAAGTGCAGAAATAAATAGTTAAGAAAACATTTTATGAATATTTCTTGACCTCATGCTGTGTGTGGTTGAGTCTCACTTGTCAACAACAGGAGTTGCTTGCTCATGGATGCAGCTGAACTGCACAATTCTGAGTGGCTTTTTGTAACTTTTTTCTTTGTTGCCCTGTAAAGTGGTTGTAAAATGTTACTGTATTAATAAGGTACCTTTTTGCACTTTTTGTATAGCTGTAAAAATATATGGAATTCATGTAACATTTTGAATTAGGTTTTGCAGCTTTGAAGTACTTAAGACCTAGTGAACTTCTTTCAAACAAAGTCTGAGCAGAACAGGCTGTTTTGCTTATATTTGTACCACAAAAGTGTTTTCAAAGACAAAGCATGATTATAGCTTAGGATACACAGTTTGTTGGCATACATTAACGAGCCCCTAAAATTTTAAAAACCCAACAAAACAAACAGACACTCTAAAAACAGATCCAGAATATCTTAATAGAAACACTTTAAAATTTTGCATTAGGACTCCAAGATCTTTGTATAATAGGAACATTCACTGGGAAAAGGAAAAAAATCCCACAACTGAAGCTGACTCATGTGCATTCTTGCCCTTTGTGATAAAAGATCCTACGTGGAAACTGGAAGACATTTTCTTTATTGTCTGCAACACAGGGAAAAAATTGACTAGTAGTTTCCTACTGCATCTCATTTTTATGACAAAAGAGTGGTTTTTCATGTTAAATACTCAAGTTTGCAAGATATTAAGATCCTGCTTTAGCCAATTTAGCAAACCACAGAGTCAGAGCCCCAGGACTAATATAAGGCACCTCTGTGATAACCTTAATGATCTGAGTTCCACCCACACTAACATCCATACAACTGCACAAGGTAAAACTTGGAAGACAAAGTGGTGTTTCTGTTTTTAGGGTAGGGAGTAACTCCACTGGGGAATGCAAAGTGTATATGCAATCACTGTGTGAATTCAAAGAATCTGTTCTCATTCAGAGATTAATTCCTGAGTAATATATTCCTGAGCAACTTAAATAATACTTCTTGACAATCACAACACTTCCAGGCTGAAACCTCAGAGACAAGGGATAAATGTGAATAATTTTGTCACAAAAATATTTTAAAGGAAGAAACTAGCAAAAGCTGAAGGAAAATGAAATTTTAAAAAAACTTTCCTCAAACTCAGTGATTACAGACTTCCTTAGAACTACAAGCTACCCATGTAGGACTTGATTTACAGAGCAGCATGACAGGAAAGAATCTCCTTTTCTGCTTCCTGTTTTCCTCATAGCTCAGGAACACATAAAACTGGATGGTTTTCAATAATCTGCTTGAATGAGAGAAAGGAAAAGTTAGGTCAGGCAGAAAGTAAAATGTTTTGATGCATGTCCAGCCTGACATGTGTCCTGGGAGAATGTCTCCAGTAATGGGGAGTTATGACACTGTTGAGACTGAAAACCAAAAGGTTTGAGGGTAAAAGGTGATGCTGTTCCATCATCAACAAGACCAATCCCTACAACAAGGCATTTGGTTTGGTTATGTATCAAAAATTTACATCAGAGTTTAAAGAAATCTGAAAACTCCAAAAGGGTTTAGTGGAAAATGTATTCTGGGACTTCTCTACTTAACTCCTAGAGGATCCATTCTGGGGTGAGCTTTAGCTTTTCCTTGTTACACTAAGAGAAAAAGCAATTGGACCTGATTTTACACACAGGCAATCACTTTAACATAGATGAATGGAAATTTAAGACTTATTAAAAGATTGTAACTATGTCTAGAAATAGCACTTTTCTTTCTGTAAAATGTCAGCTCCATTTGTTTTAGCAATGTTTTTACAGCAGTCAGTGTTTAGATTTACTTCTCTTGCAGCTAAGCATCTGGAGGAGTGGCTTACAATGACTTTTTTTGGCTTGCAAGAATTCCAGGCTGAATTTTATGCTGAGGACAATCAGCAAACATATGAAGAATGTACATATTTTAGAAACACTGAGAAGCAGTACACTGAGTACCTTTTTAGACTAGTAGACCCAAATTTTTTTAAAAAGTATTTCTTATAAGGTAAGCCTATTTTAGATAGCCTAAAAATTTCTTAATTCCACTGTTTTTTTAGGGGAAACTAGCAGTTAATATTGCATGAATCAAGCTTTTATAAATTACTCTGGTTTGGATGCACATTTTTTCTTTTTTAGGTTTTTTTTTTTTTATTTAGCACTCAAAAGAACGTAAGGAAATGAGGTTATAAGCAGCACAGCCTCCCTGTCAAAACAAATGATTTTAATAATTGCATACAAGTTCATAAAAAAAAAATGTTCTGGTTCACTTATAGTTTTATTAATTCTGGGACTTTTCTTTGAACAGATATTCTTGAGACAGAGCTCCAAAATGGTAATTTTATCTGGTTAAGTCTGTACCTAAGATACTGGACTCTCTTATAAGAAGGATGTCTTACTGACTTCATTTGTTTGTTTCTTTCCTCATCAGTGGGCTTTCAGCTGGAAAAGCAAGAAAACAACAAGAAGCACTGCTCAGCCAGGTGGCCTCCAGTTGGGATGAACTTTGGGGTATTTTACAATGAAATTAAATATATATATATATATGTAGTGAAAAAGATGGTATATGTGATATTAAGGAAAAATAAATCCCTGATTTATTCAGTATTATGCATGAATTAAAGAATTCAGCCAACAGTAGCAAATCTGATGATCAAAAGACTGTCAGATCTCAAGGCATAGTTGCTATATTTCTTAAGTTTCTGATTATTTTTTGTAGACTTTAAGGAAATGCAGTTTAAAGGAAGAATGTGAATATGGAGTGGGAGGATATTTGGCATGTAGAATAAGGATTTCTAAGCATAAGGAACAGCATATAAGAAGGTGTGAAGATAAGAGTGGGAGAACAGTACACTTAGTGTCATTCAAGAGGGCAGTTCAAAACAAACCCAGAGCTAGGAAGTACCTGGAGAAAGTCTGTTACAACATAAAGGTATCAATCTTAAAATAGGGTAAAACTAAAAAAAAAAAAATTAAAAAAAATTTTAAATGATACATGAGTAAAAAATGTTGCTCTCTTCCTCCTCCTAGATAACTTACTGTTTGAAAGAAAATTTGTTTAGGAGGCAGTGCCAGTGTTGTTGTGGAGGGCTGAAGGACCCTCTGATGCAGGACCTGTGCACTGACAAATCTCCCAAATTGTACAATTCAGAACACCAGGAGATAATAATACCACCCAATGTACTTTTTGCCTAAATGAGTGTCATGTACTCAGTTACACAAAGTCACTTGGGTTTCTTTCTTCTACTCCTTCTCACAGATTTGGAGAAACCCAGATATGTTTCTGCTCTCTGGACTGCATGTATTATACATCACATTCTAGTTACACATTTATTTTTGTCTATGGTGTAGGCAGTTGGGAGCTTGAGATGATATTTTCTCAAATTGCCATTTGACTATATCCTTAGTAAAAAGAGAACAAATACATTTGTGTGGAGGGGAGACAGATAAGATTGGGGGGAAAAAAATCAGTGTAAATTCATCCTTTCATGAATGTAAATTCATAAAAATAAAAAAAATGGTGTAAATTCATGCTTTTTTAAGAAAAACCTTAAGGTTTCTACATGAAGTAAAATTTTTGAAAGCAATTCCTACATAGAAACATTCTATAAGTTATTCTGCTTTGCAGGGCAGCAGGATATCAACTTTGCATAATTTGGAAAAAAATACTACCAAAGGCCTGACTTAGAAACATGAATAAGTTGAAGGCAATTAGGGCAGAACACTATTGCTTAGTGACCCTGGAGTCTTGTTGCTAGTCAAGCAAAAAATTTTCCAAATGAAGAAATTAAACTAAATTCTTTCTTTCCCAATCACAACAGGTAATCCCAGAGAGCACAGTTTGAAAACAAGCATTTAATTCCCATTTTGTGCTTCCTGGACACAATCAGATTGACATTTGTTTAGTGATAGATGGACACCTAATTTTGCATTGCAAAAATGAACACACGCCAAGAGAACATGAACATGTTTCACTTCCTTTTTATGAGAAAAGAATTATGAATGTTTTTTCAAATATTGCTGTACACTAGAATAGGATTATCTTCACTATCAACTTATTCAAACAAACAGCCATTGTGTGGATTTTGACTGCTTACTTTTTTTCTACAGACCTGGTAGCTCATCCAGGTTGCAATGTCCCAACTTGGATCTAGGGATACTGTATAGTAGGTTACAAGAATTTTTGCTTTTGCTAGAAACAGTCCAATTTTATTCCTAGAGTACACATTAAATGTGCAGGCCTAGCTGTGTGTGAAAAAGCAAAGCTCATCATATCACCTCTTCCTTCCTGCCAGCATACAATACAGAAGTGTGAAAAAGCAGTTTGTAATGCCACCTTTTAATCTTTTTTTCCTAGAAACAGACCCAGGTTTGAAGCCAGCTGCCACACTAATTTCTCTTATCAATATCTATCT